AAAAATGAGTCCCAGCTGCGGCCCCCCCCCCCCCGCCCCGCCAGCCCCCGTTCACATCCGAAATCGATCCGGTGCGTTAGGCGTTCGCTCGCCCGGGGGAAGGGGGCAGCGCAGGACGTCAGACATTTTTGTCTATCTGTGTATTTTTGTACGAGGAAACCTCGTCCGGGGAGTTTTAATGCCCCAGAAGACCTGTTCTTCCTGCTTCCGGGCCGTCAGGATGCTGCTGCTTCTTCTGGGAGAAAGCTGGATGTGGAGAGGGCTCTCCCTGGACATTTTGTCTTGCGTCGGTCAGCCTGACCTAGCCAGAGGCTGCGGGCGGCGAGGAGGAGGGGGAGAGGAGCCTGGCTGCGGGGGAGCTGCCCGGGCCCCTGTGAGACGGAGCATCCTTGCGGAGAGAGGCACCGGCCGCCCCTGCCGCCGGTCCCTCGGTCCCCTCCCCGCCCTTCTCACCTGGGCCAGGGGGGGCGCCCCCCCACCCCCCGGGGGGGGGGGGCCCGCCGGCCGAGGGCTAAAACGCCATTCCTTCTCTTAGCGGAAAGAAATTCAAATTAAAAAACCATTTTTAAACCAAGCCAGCTAAAAATCACGCAGGGGAAGGAGAGAATAAAAAGGGCGGGGGGATTAGAAAGTTGAGAAAGTGTCTCTAGGCAAGTTAGACAGGTGGACCTGCCTGGGGAGCTACTGGCTAGCTTGGGGTAATAAAAAACGGTTAATAGGTTGGGGAACAACAACCAGTCTTTCAGCTGTTTCCTACTGTTTGATCTTGTTTAATATAACATCGGGCGAAAGGCAATTTAATTTACAGCCCAAACGCTTATTTAATATCCTCCTCTCTTCCACCCCCTCCCCAAACAGAAGGACCGGGTATAATCACGTATTCGGGTACCCGTATTTCTGCACAAGCCAGTACCGCTCAGCACTGCTGATTTTCCTTCTCTGGTCGAGAGACTGCAAAACGAGAGGGTTCAGTTTAGAAGAATCATTCGCGCAGGAGATGGCTTTAAAAAATGAAAGCAGGGCATGCTCCAGGAAAAAAAAAAATCTTAAAAAAAAAATTGCAATGCGAACGAACGAAAAAGAAAATCTCTACTACTCCCCCTTTTCCTGTGTATCGAAATTCTGGCTTGTATGTTTAGCTAATCTAATCTATGGAGAGGGGCTGGGGGTGGGGATGGAAGGGAGGAGTTGGAAAGAGCTGAGACGCTTGTGACAGTTTAAATTCATGCCAGGTTTCAGCCTAATTTCAACTGATTTCGGCGTGTGATTTCAGTCCCACCGATATGCTAGTTAATATTTTATACCTACCACGGACACGCTGTAGCCTCGGATCTCCGAGAGGAGACGGAGCTTTTGAACGCGCCTAATTTTCCCTAGGCGTTTGCTGGGGTAGCACCCTCGTCTTTTCACAGGGCTTCCCCTTATAGGAGAAATGCGAACAAAATGCCGTTAAACCCAACCAGCGAACACCTCCCTCCGGAGGCCAGACCCTTCCCAAAGTTTTATGCAGCCGATATCCAGCCCGGAATCGGAGACGGGGAGCCCGGAGGAGCGATTACGGCCAGGGACAGTTTTCGTTTCGGAAGTGAAAACGAGCGCTTCGGCGTGAGTCCCCGCCTTGCTTAAGCACAGACGCAGTTCAGGACGTTTTATTACGTTCAATTAACTTACGATTTGCAGTTAGGCATTTGCATTTTGGGATGCCCCTAAGTATATAGGATAATATATATGTGCATGCGCGCATTTGTGTGCGTGTATACATACATACATACATATATATATATATAAAATACGTGTGCATTTGATGAGGGAAAATGGATTTAATTCGGGATCATCTGCAGATGTGGCTTTCCCCCCCAGCCCCGCACTGCCCAGAAGGTGAAGCAGGACAAAGGAGGCAGCCGGGGCAGGCTCGTCCCGGGACTGCGCCGGTGCCCGCGCTGGATGCGCACCCCGGCGGGGCGCCCCGGGCAGGCAGGGGATCCCGGGGAACCGGTTCAGCCTCCAGAGGTGCCCCCTGCTCCAGCATCTCTTCTCTTTTCGTTAGCCGGGTTTAAAAGAGGGCCGGTGCTTTAGGCCGCCTGGCATTGGGGGCGGGGTGGGGAGAAAAGAAAAGGAGAAAAGAAAGCTATAAAGCCAAAACATGAACATCCCCCCCTCCAAGACAAAAAAAAGCAACTGTTTTCCCCCGCTGCCTCCCCAGCCCCCCTC